GAGTCCACCGGACGTAACACAATAGTTTACGAGATATTTTATATTTTATTCTGACATTTATATAACAAAAAGAATAACTCCTTTGTATAAAGTATCATTAGCTCAGCGTTAGCGTACAAGTTTGATGTTCTAGGGATCTCAGGTCTCGAATCTCGAATATCTCGATGTGTTTTCAAAAATTATAAATCTGCGTATAAATTGTAATAATAGAATTATAATAGAATTAATAATAATAGAAAAACATGCGAAACAAATTAAACTCTACAAATAATAGTATGCAATTAATTAAAAAGAATAAATAAAATAAAAAAATTTTTTTGTTATAATATATAGCAGCTCCCATGAATTTTCACATAAGACCTGAATTTTTGGCCGAAAATATATTCTTTTAAATGAAATTGAATAAATCATTTAAATAATTTATCGTATAAATTAATTTATTTAATTCTGTGAAAAAGCAAACTTTTTCCTGGGTAAAAGAAAAATTATGTTTCTTAAACGTTTTTTCACTGAAAAAGAAACGTGTTTTTAAACGTTTTTCGAGTGGACATTTTAATCACTCAGAAACGTTTTCAAAAGTCGGTTATAAAACGTTTCAAAGAAACAATTGTGAAACGTTTCTAAAACGAATATGTGCTACTTGGGATAATGTGTCCTAATTATACCTGTATTACGTCCGGTGCGAACATTTTGAGTACGTACATAGGATGTTCTTAGAGTGGAACATAGGACATCCCTTGTACGTCCATCGGATGTACACAGGACATCCGACGGACGTATTGAGGATGTCCTCAGGACCTGTACCGAATATCCGAATTGCATCCTTGTTACATTCATGTGTTATGTGGGCTCAGTTCAGGGTCAGGACATCATGGGGACAGCCTCAGGACGTCCTAAGGACATTCTTGTAGGATAGTTCAAGATTTCCACAGGATTATAGATATTGTGTGTATGTACAGAAATTCGATAAATTCTGTGTCATTCTTTAACATAATGATTTGAAATTTGTAATTAAACTAACGACATTATATCAAATAATGTACAGCCATTATATAGGGTATCCCGTAATAACCGGACCAGCGCTTAAGGGTAGATTCCTGAGATCATTTTAAGACAAAAGTTCCAATACCAAAATGTTGAGGCTATAACAGTTTTTGAATTATTAGTGTTTAAAGTTAACTAATCAGATCGTATAAAGTTG